TGCAATGTGCAAGATATGTTAAATTTGGAACCTTTAGCTTGACATCATTCCCTAATCTGCTCTTGCTTTGAGCTGTTGTGCAACATTACTGGTCTGAAAGGTCAGAGGATAGAATCTGGGGCTAACAGAGCATACAAAACATTTGGAAGGAAATCCTGGTTGGGAGCTACAGAAGAATTGAGGCACAAAGTATACAGACAAATCCACCTAAATCTTGGTTTACAGCCAACTCTACGTATGCTGAGGAGAGTCCAGTTGGCCTGGCACAAAAGCATCAGCTGAAACATTAAAATGAACAGAGATTATAGCTGCTGCCTACTGCTAGGAAGAACGACTTTGAGCTTGAGTCTAGGCAAGTGAAATACCTGTTATAACAAAAGTCATTTTTCATAGGAAGACAACAGAATCTAGAATCTTTGTAATATATCATTCATAATATCCAGTTATGTGATAAAGCCAGAAAAGTGTGTCTATAGTCCAGAAAAAAAGCAGTCAGTAAAAGCTGATCCCAAGATAACTCCGATGTTGCAGTAGTTAGCAGACAAGCACTTTAAAGTAGCTGTTATAAATGTCTAAGGATTTAAAGGGAAATATATGTATAATAAGTAAACAGATTGAGAATTTCAGAAGAGAAACAGAACTTTATAAACTATAAAAAAGAATAAAAGTAATTCTAGGACTGAAAGATACAGAGTCTGAAATTTAAAAATTTACCTGACGGGCTTACAAGCAGATTGGAGATGGCAGAAGAGTCAGTGGATTTGAATAGAAATGATCTAATCTGAAGAACTGGGAGAAAAATGATGAAAGAAAAAGAGCCTCAGAGACCAGTGAGGCAATATCAAGTGGTCTAATGTGTAATTTGTGTCCCAGAAGAGAGTGATAATAGTACAGGAAAAATGTCTGAAGAAATAATGGCTTGAAGCTACCCAGATTTAGTGAAGAACATTAATTTATAGGGCCAAAAAGATCAACAAATTTCAAACAGGACAAATAAAAAGCCATACATTAAATGAGGGACATTAAAATTAGAGAAATCTAAGTAAAAAGAGAAATTTTCAGAGCACCTGGGTGGCTCAGTCGGTTAAGTATCTGACTTGATGTTACGGTTCATGAGTTCGAGCCCCCACGTTAGGCTCTTTGCTGACAGCTTGGAGCCTGGAGCCTGCTTCAGATTCTTTGTTTCTGTCTCCCTCTGCCTCTCCCCTGCTTGCATTCTTCTCTCACTCTCTCTCAAAAATAAACATTAAATAAATGTTCAAAATCAGAGAGATGAAAATCAGATTACATACAAGGGGACAATGATATAAATGGTGGCTTTCTCTTAATGAGGAACAATGGAGGCCAGAAGGCAGTAGAGCAGCATTTTTAATTAATTAATTAAATTTACATCCAAGGTAGTTAGTATATAGGGCAACAGTGATTTTAAGAGTAGATTCCTTAATGCCCCTGACCCATTTAGCCCATCCCCCCTCCCACAATGTCTCCAGGCACCCTCTGTTTGTTCTCCATATTTAAGAGTCTATTATGTTTTTGTTCCCCTCCCTGTTTTTATATTAGTTTTGCTTCCCTTCCCTTATTAGAAAGGCATTTTTAAAGTGCTCGAGTGAAACTATCAACCTAGAATGTTGTCTATACACTATAGACAGTCGTATAGACAGTCTTAAAAAAATGAAAGTGCAATTTAAAAAAAAAAGAAAGATAAATATTTAGGTAAACGTTTGCATCACCAGAAATATTGAAGGAAGTTCCTCAAGTTGAAGGGAAATGGCCCCATGGGTAACACTAAGGTAATGAAAGGATTGGAGTCCACTGGAAAAGGTAAATATAAAATAGACACTATTTTTTGTTCTCTTAATTTTTTTACATGTATTCAAAACAGAATGAAAAAATACCTTTAACACTGTATTGTGGAATAGATTAACGTATGATATATATGCCAACAATAAAATAAAGGTAAAGGAGAGATAAATGGAACTTTATTATTGTATGCATACACACACACACATATACGTGAAGAAATACAGTATTAAATCTAATCAGATTGTGATAAATTAAAGATTTATATTATAATCCCTAGAGTACTCATGAAAAAGGTAGTACTTCGAGCTAAAAGCCAAAAGATTAAAAGGGAATACTATAATTTTTCAGCTAACCTAAAAAAGGCAGGAAAGGAAGATCAAACGGAACAAGAGAAAGGTGAGACCAATAGAGCAGAGTAGCAAATATCACACTAAATCCAAGCATATTGTTATATACATTGATTACCAAGGCTTAAATACTTCAGTTAGAAAACAGAGATAATTAGAATGGTTTAGAAAGCAAGGCCTATCTATATGTTGTCCGTAAGAAAGCAGTTGACATACACAGACAAAATAGGATGAATGTAAAAAGATGGGAAAAAAATGTGCCATGCAAATTCCATTAAAACTAATTGAAACTAATAAAGATCCCAATAAATATGAAAATAAACACTTGAATAAGCACTTCCCAAAGGAAGATATAGGAATAATTAATAAGTACATGAAAAACTACTCAGTATCCCTAGTTAACAAGGTAATGCAAATTAAAACCACATTGAGATACCATTACAAACCCACTAGATTGTCTCAAACAACTGATATCATCGGAGCACCTGGGTGCCTCAGTCAGTTAAGCATCTGACTTCATCTCAGGGCATAATCTCATAATTCATGAGTTCGAGCCTTACATCTGGCTCTGTGCTGACAGCTCAAAACCTGGAGGCTGCTTCAGATTCTCTGTCTCTGTTTCTGTCTCTCTCTCTCTCTCTCTGCCCCTTCCCTACTCACACTCTTGTCTCTCTCTCTCAAAAATAAACATTAAAAATGATAATAAAAGTAAAACAACTGACATCATCAAGTGGTAACAGAGATGCGATATTACCAAAGTGCTCATAGCTGGAGAGTTATAAATGTTACAACCTCTCTGGGCACCTGGATGGCTCAGTGGGTTAAGTGTCCAACTTTGGCTCAGGACATGATCTCGTGGTTCCTGAGTTCAAGCCCTGTATCAGGCTCTATGTTGACAGCCCAGAGCTTGGAGCTTGACTCAGATTCTGTGTTTCCCTCTGGTTGCCTCTCCCCCTCTCACATTCTGTCTCTCTCAGAAAAAAAATATATTTTTTTTAAATGCTACTACCTCCAGGGGAAAATTTTAGTAGTTTCTTCTGAAGTTAAATATCTACGTCTACTCTTGGACTAGGAATTGCTCTCCTGGGTATTGTACGAGCAAAATGAAAATGAATGTCCACAAAGAGATTTGTATAGAAATGTTTCCAGCAGCTCCATTCACAGTAGCCCAAACTGGAAACACCTACATGATGAATATCAGCGGAGTAGAGGTAAATAAATTGAGGTGTTTCCATATGCTGGAATGCTATTCAGCCGACTAAAGGAACAAACTGCCAACACACACAGCAACACGAATGAATCTCAGGCACTATGCTAATAAGGGAAGCCAGACACAGAAGAGTACACAATACATGATTCCATTTGTATGAAGGTCCAGAATAAAACTATGGTGAAAGTTTTCAGACAAGTGGTGTGGAGAGTCGGCAGACTGATTGGGGAGGGATATAGGAATTTGGTACAGAATGTATTCTATGTCATCCTTGTAGTTTGGCTTCCATGGGTGGATCAGTTTTTCAAATTAGTACAGCTAATTTATGCATTTCAGAGTATATGAATTTATCTTCCTGAAATCTGTCAATAATAATAGGTGGTAGGGATTGGATATTGGTATTCATAAAAAGAATAGTAGAATGATAATAATTGTTGAAATCGGGTGATGGATGCATCGAAGCTCATTATTCTATTTACTTTGTTTATGCTTAAAATCTCCCATGAATAAAGAGTTTTATGAATTATCCCACCTCAATTTTTATAACACATTTTCTTAGAGATGCCTTTTAAGAATGATTATCTTTGGGGCACTTGGGTGGCTCAGTTGGTTAAGTGTCCGACTTCGGCTCAGGTAATGATCAGGTCATGATCTCGCAGTTCATGGGTTCCAGCCCCATGTCTGTCTCTGTGCTGAGAGCTAAGAGCCTGGAGCCTATGTCAGGTTCTGTGTCTCCCTCTCTCTCTGCCCTTTCCCTGTTTGTGCTCTGTCTCTCTTTTTCTCAAAAATAAATGAAACATAAATTTTTTTTGAAAAATACTATCTTCCATGTCAAAGAAATATTTAATTGAAAGTATATTAGTTCCCTTAGTTTGAATTCAGCTTTTCTGTTAAATTCAAGTAAAATTAAATTTAGAACTTGGTGACAAAATATCTTTCTAAAATTATTTCTCTTAACTTACTAGTCCCTATGCATAAAGATGTCTGAAATGATGTTTCTCAAATATTGATTGTGGTTAGTGTTAGGTGGTTGGATTTGGGGTAATTTTTTATTTTTTTGATGCTTTTCTGTATTGCTGAGAATTTATAAACACATACTGTTTTTACAAACAGTTATTCTTAAAAATATTAAAGATGTATATAGCATATAAAGTTTTCTGATAGTGAGAGTCTTATATACCAGCTAATTAAAATTTGTCCATGGACATCGGTTTTCATCCTAATAAATGGATAAAAGGTATTAATAAATACCTCTGCCTTGAGGGTTCTTAAAATCTATGTAATTTGTTGAGCTTGTATGATTTCTGAATGAGTTCTTGGACAAAGGTTTTTGTCTGTTACTTGTCCAAAAAATGAAAGAAAGAAAAGAACCTATAGCCCTGACTCTACTCCTATGCTCTCTTGTACTGATGTGATATGTCAAGTCAAAGAGATCATTCAGCGTGTGGGGGGGGGGGCAAAGAGGTATATGTGGAGACTATGTAATCATTTCTTAAGAAAAAATTTAAGAGCTTCTGTCATTGCCTTTATTTACTGTACTATCACCAATATTCTAAATTCCCAGTCTCCTTATGGTTGCATTGCCCTGACCTCTATCAGTATATAAACTTGGATTTTTTTTTCATACTTAATAACTTTAGGGGATCAGTATTGTGGAGGACGCCTCGAAAGACCTTCTGGCTCTTTGAAAACCCCCAATTGGCCTGACCGTGATTACCCTGCAGGAGTCACTTGTGTGTGGCATATTGTAGCCCCAAAGAATCAGGTAAGCTTTCCTGAAAATCTGAAGAAAGCATGCATGTATGAATTGCCTTGATGGTGTGAGGGGCCCATCTCTCAAGAGCTTGGCATGCAGGATGAGGAATGCCTTGCCGGACACAGGCATCTCTGTATAAAAGACCCAGGTTAAAATTGCTTTTGCAAAGTCATGTATTTAATTATATAAATTATAAAAATACAATTTTCAAATTTCAATATAAATAGTAAGCAAATCCCCATGAGATTGTTTAACCCTTTTAACCCTGTGGAAAATGTTATAAACAGTAGTGACTTAGTATGAGAGGGTTAGAATCCCCAAGTACATACACGTTTCAGGTAGCCATTTGTTCACATAGCAAATGTACCTGACAGCTTCACCGGGACAAAGCCAATGCAAGCATACCACATTTTCCCCTCAAAGAACATAGAGTCTGAAAGCTAATCTGCTCTGGATTTTTTTGGGTGTCGTTTAACGTAAAATTTGTTCAGGTTCCCCACAAATAACTTTATTCATTGCTCTAAATCAACAGAGAAGGTCTTAGTTTTCCTGTGCTTATTAGTTTATGATTATGTGAAATTTTATCTTTTCTGGAAATCACGTTTAGGTATTAAATACAGGAGAAAACATAGCAAAGTTAGTCCAAGTCTACTTTGTGGACATTGGAAAATAAGTTTTGAAAAATTATTATTGTTACAAACACTACAGACTTTAATCACACACTAGAATGGTGAGCATTATGATACTGTTTAAAAAACTTTTCTAAACTGATCTTTTGAGGAGCACTTAGGTGGCTCAGTCAGTTAAAGGTCTGACTTTGGCTCAGGTCATGATCTCATGGTTTGCAGGTTTGACCCCAGCATCAGGCTCTGTACTGACAGCTCAGAGCCTGGAGCTTGCTTCAGGTTCTGTGTCTCCCTCGCTTTCTGCCCCTCCCCTACTCATTCTCTCTCTCCCCCTCTCTCTCAAATAATAAAACATAAATAAATAAATAAATTGATCTTTTGTATCACTCACACAAATACCACTTGCCATATATTCATTTTTTAATGTTAAATTATTCAGGCAAACATATCATGCAGGTTGGTGATTTGAACTCATACACACATGCCACACACACACATACTCTGATCATAATCCCCAAACCCAGTTTTATTTTTAAGAATAAAAATCTGGGGTGCCTGGGTGACTGTCAGTTAAGTGGCCAACTTCAGCTCAGGTCATGATCTTGTGGTTTGTGAGTTCAAGTCCCACAATGGGCCCTGTGCTGACAGCTCAGAGCCTGGACCCTGCTTCAGATTCTGTGTCTCCCTCTCTCTCTGTCCCTCCCCAGCTGGCACTCTGTCTCTGTCTCTCTCAAAAACAAATATTGAAAAAAAAAAAAAGAATATCAGGCCATTTAATGATGAAAGATTATATAAATTTATTGAACTTTTTATAGTTTAAAGTAACATTTAAAAGTCGTATTTCACAATATTTAAGCCAGTATGTAATCTTTGAGATTGTATTGGTCGTTTTTCTTTCTGTGACATTTGTAAATATATTAGTTTAAATAATTTAATTATGCTTGCAGATTACAATTCTGCATCTTTTTTCTATTCATCTCTTTAATTATTTAAATTTAAATTTGGGTTTCATTTTATTAATGTGATTTTTTATTTTAGCCAATTGATTGTTTAATCATTGTTGTAATGTCTGAAATCACTGGAAACACTGTCAAAGAAGATGAGTATAATGGGAAAATTAAGTCCTGAGTAATTTCTGTGCCAGTCTATGGGCATTTTATTCCAATAAACAACTTCGTTTTTTATCATAGTTTTCCTCTTTATTTTCCTATTTATTTACTTATATTTTACTCTTCTTTCTAAAAGCTGTTATATGAGTAAGTAGAGAAAAGTTCAGCCAATTTTTTAATAATCTGGAAAGCATTTTATAACCAACTGGTGAGAAGTTATTGGACCCAAAGAGGAAATATTTATAATTTAAAACAGTGCTAAATACAAATAAGCTATTATTCACCCATAACTGGTGCTGACTTTTTAAATGTGAGTAAGTACGGAGATATGTGGCATTTGTGTTCAGAGTCAAAATTTACCTTTAGTCCCTCCATGATGCTGTTGCTGTTATCATCTTTATCTACGTTACTGTGTATAAATCTTCTTTAGCTTGTAATAATTAGAGCCTGTCCTAACAGGAATTAATGCCCATTATCTTCCCTTAAGCAGCAGGGAGGGTTACCTGCTCACCTGCTGCCCAGCAAAAGTGGAGATCAGCTGTCTGCGTGCTGTCGGTGTTTATGAACCCAGTGAGATTTCCTTTGATTCACATGTTGGAGGTGCTCTGGAAAAATCTGCTTGTGAGGAGAATGATTGCCTATTAAATCAAAACTTCCTATTGACTTGAATAACTTTGAACACTATTATTGGTACTAGTGCAAAAAAATTAAATACTTAAGAAGTCTAGGGGCACCTGGGTGGCTCAATCCGTTAAGCGTCTGACTTCAGTTCAAGTCATGGTCTCACGGTTCGTGGGTTTGAACCCTTTGTTGGGCTCTGTGCTGACAGCTAGCTCAGAGTCTGGAGCTTGTCTTCAGATTCTGTGTCTCCTTCTCTCTCTGACCTTCCCCTGCTCATACTGTCTCTATCTCTTTCTCAAAAATAAATAAAACATTTACAAAATTAAAAAAAAAAAAGAAATACTTAAGAAGTTTAACCCCGACTTGGTATGCAAGTGCTTTTATGCAACCTCTTCAAAAATCAACTACATCAACAAGTAGTGCCAACTCAGTAGGCACACTTTTCATACATCAAGAAGATATCACAGTCAATCCCTACTTCCTAAATCTCTAGTCTTAAAGAATTTGATGACTTTACATGTGATAGAAATGTTGTTCTCCTTCCCTTGGAAGAGAAACAACTCCATCCACCACCTCACCCACCCAAACGCATACACATACACCACACCCCAGTACATACATTAACGTCGGGGAACATCTCAAAGAAGACTGAAGTTGGCATAGGCTCTGCTTTCCACTTCAACACGTATCCAGTTATGGTCTTTATTGTAGGCTGCTAGGGTTATGTGGTGTTCCCATACTTTTGTAGTTGTAGGTGAACAGATCTAAATTTAAGATCTTAACTAGGGTTGAGATGTTCTTTTGTAATGATTAAAAATTAAGGCAAAATAATACCACGGTTTTGTTAACTGCAGAAGAAGTATGAGAACCATAAAGAAACAGTTCAAACAGAAGGAATATTTTCTTTACAAAGGAAAATCAGGTGGGGCGCTTGGGTGGCTCAGTAGGTTAAACGTCCGACTTTGGCTCAGGTCATGATCTCATGGTTTGTGGGTTTGAGCCCTGCGTCCGGCTCTGTGCCGACAGCTAGCTCAGAGCCTAGAGCCTGTTTCAGATTCTGTATCTCCTTCTCTCTCTGAACCTCCTCTGCTCATGCTGTCTCTCTCTCAGAAATAAATAAAACATTAAACAAATTTAAAAAAAATCATATCTTACAGATCTGGGAAGAGGAAGATTTCTGTGTGAGATTATTTCTCAAAGCTATCTTGACATTTCTAATGTGCTTTCTCTAAAGCTTATAGAATTAAAATTTGAGAAGTTTGATGTTGAGCGTGATAACTACTGCCGATATGATTTTGTGGCTGTGTTTAATGGTGGGGAAGTCAACGATGCTAAGAGAATTGGAAAGTATTGTGGTGATAGTCCACCTGCGTAAGTAGCACCTGTTTTATTTCATTAATATTTTAGTAGCTCTAAACTTTTTTCTTATTAAATTGCCCAATTATATTTTATTTTCTGGAAGATTCTATGCTGTTGTTGTTTTGTTCACAAATTCTTGGGTTCATGGCAGTAGAGTCCCATACAGCCCCAGCACAAAGAATAGCCGACCCAGAGAGTGAGGCGGCATTAATGAGTATAGCGAGGCTTTGGCAGCCAAACAGATAACAGAAGCAGAGTTGGTGATGTCCCAGAGTCAGATGCTAGCCAGACACCTGGATACATCACTGCCCTGGAAAGGTGAACTCAAGCACCAGCAAAGGGGGAAATTGTGAGAAAAAAGTAGGGGGCTGAAATTTGGGGATCCAGACCAGGAAACCTGGCTGCTTATGACAACCCAGGTGATTGTACCTGATCAGAGACCTGTCTGGCACCTTTTGTGGCTTTGTTCGTCTTCCTCACATTATCGCTCAAATGTTTGCTGGGTGAGTCTGAAAGGCACTGTGTATTTATCAGCAAACATTTATGGAGCTAAGAACTCTGCCACTTACTAGCTGTGTAGCATTGAGCCAATTGCCTAATTCCTCTTAGTTCCCTATTCTGTATTGGTGCAACACATGTATTTTGGTGCAAGATATTTCACACCTTCACATATAATACTAGAGAAAGTCTTAGTTCAAATTACTACAGCTTAGGGTGGCTGGCTTGTTGGATTATATGCATCACTTAGTTTTACATGCATGTCTATGATTCCCCCAGACACATTGCGTTAAAACAAGGTATTTTTCTTTTAAATTCATTTTTTCAATTTAAATTCATTTATAGTTTGATAAGAATTTTCAATACGTACAAATTGGTTAAAATTTGAACATTACTACACCCAAATTTGACTCCGCAGCTGAATTTGTTAGAGAAAGTCCCATTTCTAAGCTCATAGCAAAGGTGTTCCTTCTATATTTTTTTCCTGTTGCTGCTATAACAAATTACCACTGACTGAATGGCTTAAAACAATACATGTATTCTCTTACAGTTCTGGAGGTCAGAAGTCTGAAATCATTTGCACTGAGCTAAAGTTAAGCTGTCAGCAGGGCTGTTTCCTTCTGAAAGCTCTGAGAGGAGAATCAGTTTCTATGCCTATTTCAGCTTCAAGAAGCTGCTGCATTTCTTGGCTGTGGTTCCTCCTCCGTCTTCAAAGCACATCACTCCTATCTCTGCATCTGTCATCGTATTGCCTTCTCTTCTCCTGGAGTCGAACCTGTCTCTTCTAAGGACACCTGTGGTTACATTTAGGGCCCACGTAGACAACCCAGGATACTCTTTCCTTCTCAAGATCCTTAATCACACCTGCAAGTTCCCTTCACACATAAGGTAACATATTCACAGGTTCCAGGGATTAGAATGGGGACATCTTGGGGGCCATTGTCAGCCTACCACAACCTCATTTATTCCAAGCCAATTTTTCATCTGTATCCTCTGACCTCCTTCTTTTCTCCCTTGAAACTTTCCTCTACCCAGTCGCCCTCTTTTTTCCCATCATCTCCATCTTTAGCCTCTGCCTTCTTTTCTTATTTCTTTCCTGTAGCCAAAATTTTAAGTTCTTCTAAATTAAGGGAGAAAAAAGTAACCCTTTCTTGACCCCCTATTGCTATAGCTTTATCTGCCATGTCTCCCCTGTCTTTATATCCAAGTATTTAAAAAAATTTCAAGTTTCATTTCTTAGCAATATGGAAATTAAGATAGCCTTTAAAATCATGCCAGAAGAAACACCAAACAGTGTTCCTAAGTTAAAACAAAAAATTTAAGCACTGCTCAGTTGGTAAAAATAAGAGAAATCATCAGGGGGCAAAAATGTTGAAAAGCCCAACAGCACCTGGGTAGCACCTGGGGTCGGTTAAGCACCCCAACTCTTGATTTCGGTTCAGGTCATGATCTCAAGGTTCATGAGAGCAAGCCCTTTGTTGGGCTCTGTGCTGACAGTGTAGAACCTGCTTGGAATTCTCTCTCCCTCTCTGCTCCTACCCGTGTGCTCTCTCTCTCTCAAAAATAAATAAACATTGAAAAACTATTAGCAAGTCAAATCTAACAATGTATAGAAAATACTGTCTGACCAGGAATTCAAGATTGGTTTGAACTTAGAAAGTCTATTAATATAATTTAATTATCAGATTAAAGTGTGAGTTTTAGGTTATATTTTCACTTGTTGGGAACATTAATTTATTCAGGAATAAATACAAAAGTTTATATTTATTAAAAATATTATTTTAATAGCAACATAAATATAAAATGCTCAAGAGTAAATCTAATAATTGTGTGCAAGCCCTTAATAGAGAAAATTATAAAACCTTACTGAGAGGTACTTTAAAAACCTCAATAAATAGAGCTGTCTACCGTTCTCATGAATAGGAAGAATCAATGTCATTTAAAAATAACAAAATTAGTTTTTCATTAAACCTGACAGCCTGATTCTGAAGTGTTCATGGAGTTGCAGGGGGGTGGGGCATGGGGTCAAAACTATAACAGTTCTGAAGGAGAGCCTGGCAGGGGGATTTGCCTTATATGCTGGAGCTGTATCAGAAAGCTGCTGTATTTAAGACAATATGGTTTTAACAGAGATAGACAAATGGACTAATGAAAACACCAAAGAGAGGCAAGATACATCCACATATGTCTGCAGATGGGGCACATCACAGTGACCCGCAGGTCAGCTGGTGAAAAATGGCCCCCTTGAAAAATGAGGTAGGGACAATTTGTATTCATATGGGAAAAATGAATTCTGTGACACACACATACACACTAAACTGCAACTACAGATGCATTGTGAATGAGAATTTCTATTCATTAAAATATACCTTAAAGAGAGGGAAAAGAGAAGACACAAAACAGAAACAGGTATTTGTAACATATTTGATAAAGACATCTAGGTCCAGAATATATCAAGAAATTCTAAGAATAAAGAAAAAACAACTCAATAGAAAAAAAAATGGGCAAGAGACATGAAAAGGCATTCCTGAAGGAAGAAAGCTGAACAGTGAATAAATCTTTGAAAAGAGTATAAACTGGCACAATAACTTTGGAAATCAGCTTGGCATTATCTAATGAAGTTGAAGATGGGCATGTATCCTGTGACTTAGCAGAGAACATGTACCCTACCCTCCTGGGGTGCTCACTAAAGTTACTTTTGCCCATGTGTACCAAAAGACATATACAAGAATATTCCTAGCGATACTGTTTATAATGGGGGGAGGGGGCAGAAGAAATAGCCTGTTATTTATCAACAAGAGAATGGTTAAATTGTTATAGTTCCCACTATGCAGCAGTGAAAACAGTGGATGAATCTCACAGTTACAATGCTGAGTGTGGGAAAAAAAATAACAGAAAAATATACACCATACTCTCTCATTTATATGAAGTTTTTTTTTTTTTTTTTTACAAATAGTTTATTGTCAAATTAGTTTCCACATAACACTCAGTGCTCATCCCCATAAGTGTCCTCCTCTATGCCCATCCTCCCTCCCCCCCACATCAGTCCTCAGTTTTTGTCAGCATTCAAGAGTCTCTCATGGTTTGCCTCTCTCCCTTTCCCCCACCATTTCCCCCCTTCTTCTCCCCCTTGTTCCTCCGTCAAGTTCCTCCTAATCCTCCTATACGTGCAAACATATGATATTTGTCCTTCTCTGCCTGACTTATTTCGCTCAACATAACACCCTCAAGGTCCATCCATGTTGCTACACATGGCCAGATTTCATTGTTTCTCAGTGCCATGTAGTATTCCATGGTATAGATAAACCACATCTTGATCCATT